CTCACTCTTTCTCTCTTTCTCTGTATCTACGTTTCTCCATCTCTCAAATTCTAACAATTTTACTCGCATATATATATATATATATATATATATATGCCAGTAAAATTGTTAGAATTTGAGAGATGGAGAAACGTAGATACAGAGAAAGAGAGAAAGAGTGAGAGACATTGACACAGAGAGAGGGAGAGGGAGAGATTGAATTCACCTTTATTCACGACATTTAATTATTTCCCTACTGATCAATCACCTTTCATAGGTCTCGATTACAAGATATCAGCAGAATTAAATCAATAATAAAAGAGCGAGCGGGCGAGAGAGAGAGCAGTAGGAGGAGCAGCTCATTGTCCCTCTGTGCTCCCCCGCTCCGCCATTGGCCCTCCACACACACCGTGACCCCTGGGGCCTGGAGCCGGTGGTCATGTGACCTGCAGAAACTGACCAGCAGAGTCCAAGCTGAGAGGCGGATCAGTGTGAGGAGAGCAGAGGAGGGATACACACTCATACACACACACATACACACACACACTCACAGAGGGACAGAGAGAAACACACACACAGAGAGAGTCATGAGGCCTTCCGCTCGCCTCTGAACCGATGACAGCGAAGCATCCACAGACATGAGATGGATTCGTGGGAAGGTAAGGACTCTGGGCTTTTCTTTAAGATGTGTGTTTCATCATGAAGTGTCTGTGCAGTGTGCGAGTGCTTTAATACCTCTTTCTCACCCTGGAATACTCCTTTATTTGTCCACTAATGCACCTATAAGGATCCCTAGCTTCCTTCATCCACTGGAAAGCATGCAGGGGGGGGGGGGGGGTCATACTTACTGTATTCGGGATACTGTAAATGTGGATGTGAGCCTAATATTCAGTTTCCAGCTGTATTCTGTGTAAATAATAGTGTGTGTTTGAGTGTGTGTATGAGTGTGTGTGTGTGTGTGTGAATATGAATGAGATTGTTAAAGGCTGTTTGTGAAGCTGTCTAATGGGAGACTCCAGTTTTTGGTTGGATTTCCTCAAGTAATCCATTAAATTGATTGTTTTTTTTAAGAGTGTGTGTTTTGTTGGCGTGAGGAGGGTGATTTTATTAATGTGAAGGGTTTTTTGGATGTTGTTATTATGTTCTATTAATATTAAGGCTATTAATATTTAATTTTGAGGAGTGTGAAGTGTTTCCATGAGACTAGAAGCTCTTAATTGGATGCTTTGAGGGATTAATTGGTATTTTAAACACTTTGCAATCTAGCTAAGGAGCACACACAGCTTCACACACACACACACACACACACACACACACACACACACACACGCGCGCGGAAGCTTTAATTGGCTGTGTAATGAAAGATGTGTGTGTTTTCATGGGTTAACTCTACAGTTCTGGGTTTGATTTGGAATGAATGAATGGGTTAAAAGAGTGTGTGGAGTGTGTGTGTAGTGTTTGGTTGGATGGTGTGTGTGTGTGTTTAGGGGCTTTACGGTGAGTGTGTGGTATGCGGGCTGCGGCCCATCTGGAAAAGGTTTTCAGTGCTGAGCGGGCGGGCAGCTGTCCTCATACACACACACACACACACACACACACACACACACACACACACACACACACAGAGAGAGAGAGAGAGAGGGAGCGGGGGTCAGTGACGCTCAACCCCCGACACACACACACGCTCATTCACACACACACACTGATATATACACACACATTGATAGAAACAGATATGTACCTTCTCACACACACACACTCATTCACACTTCTACATACACACACATACAATGATACAAACATTCATTTACCTTCTCTCTCTCTCACACACACACACAAACACCCATACACAAACAGACACACACGCACAACCCCTGATACAAACACACACATACACAATGATACACACACACTGATACAAACACCCATACACAAACACGCACAACCCCTGATACAAACACACACATACACAATGATAAAAACACAC